CCAGTCACCAGCTGCCACCAGGTCTCAGAGACAGATCTGTGTGGCAGCAGTATGAAGTCCCTTGGGTGCTTTTCTTGGGTATTGCCCAAACAGGTTTGAGAAAATGGCACCAGAAGGCTTGCGGTGGAACCAGACTCCTTTCTGCAGGCGTAGCCCACAGGGAACACCTTCTCGAAGCTGCACAGCAAGCATTCACAGTGTGGACCGCAGGCGAGAGAGCGCTCAGGGCACAGGGATAGAGGCTGGACAGCTCAGCGACACCTGGCTCACTTTTTGAGGCGAGCTTTCACTCTGGCCCCTTTCCCCCCTTCCTTGCCTTCCCTCGTCGACATGTGTCCCACATTTAGGAAGATGGAGTGCTGGGTTTGTCCTTGGACACCAGATCAAGGAAGAGGGAGGATGGCTCTTCCATGATCTACAGGACAGCTACGCACTTTTAAACTAATTATTAATTTATTTAATTTAAGAAAATGGTCCCAGGTTGACTGGCTTGCAACTCACTGTCAGTCAAGCCGCCTCAGACTCTCAAAGCTCTGTCTCCCGAGTGCTGGGATCAAAAGTGTGCACCTCCATGGCTGGCCACCGCTGTGGCATTTTCCACCGCTGGTCTCCCCAGACCATTGCCACTTAGACTGCTGTTTCAGTAGTTTCCCTTTAAATAGGCTCCCTTTTACATTGCCAGTGACTCAAGAGGGTAGGCAGTGTATGAATCCCCTAGATGAGGAAAATTCATAGGGACAGACAATAGGGTGGGGGTTGCTAGGGATGGGGCAGTGGGGTACAGGAATTACTGCTTAACAGGCCATTTCAGGATAGGATCAAGGAAAGTTCTGGAGGTGGGTGGGGAGATGATTGCACAACAGTGTGACTGGAGATGATCGCACAAAACTGCACACCTCTGACACGGCTAAAATGTTTGCATCAATTTTACTACAATTTTAAAAGTTAGGGTTTGGGAAGAAATTGTTTAATGGGCACAAGGGTTTGCTGGGCAAACTTGAGGGCCTGAGTGTAAAAAGCTGGGCATGGCTACATTTGAACCTGGAACCCCACTGTTGTGGGAACAGAGAAGCAGACTGCTGGAGCTTGCTGGCCACCAGCCTAGCTCCAGGATCAGTGAGAGATGCTGTCTCAAAGGGATAAGATAGAGAGGGATAAATCTGGACATTCAGACTCTGAAGTCAATGTGTGTGCTTGTACATGTAAATGTGTATAACACACATATGTGTATGCAAGCAAAAGCTGAGCATTGTGGGTACTTGGGAGGTTGAAGCAGGAAGAGGAGTTTGAGTTTGGGCCAGCCTGTATCTGTACAGAAGACTTATTCTCAAACAAATGAAAACCCAGGTAATAAAAATAACTTTTTTTTTTTTTTAATCCCAGCATTCCATAGGAAGGCAGATCTCGGTAAGTTTGAGGTTAGCCTGGTTTACACAGCAAATTCCATAGTCAGCAAGGGGCTACATAATAAGATCTTATCTCAAAAAAAAAAAAAAAAAAAAACATTTGGTTGTGCTAACTGGAGGCAGTTTGACACTCTCAGCTGGGTGTGGCGCTGATCTAGAGCGCAGGTGTTAAGAAGGCTGAGGCAAGGGAATCCTCGGCCTTTGAGCACAGCCTGGACAAAGCACTAAGATGCCATTACAATAGTTAAAATACATATATTTAAGTTAAAGACTCCCCTGCCAGGAATTATGGCTCAGTCCTTTGAGCCCAGCACTTGGGAGGCAGAGGCAGGCAGAGTTCTGTGATTTAAGGCCATCATTGTCTACATAGTAAGTTCTAACACAGCTAGGGCTGTATAAGAAGACCCTATCTATCAACAAGCAAACAGACAGATAGATAGATTCTTCTCGGGATATAATTCAAAAGGAGTCTTTATTTCTATGTCCCATCAAGGATTTAGGAGGCTACTTGTAATTTTCTTTTAATTTTTGTGTGTGTGTGTGTGTGTGTGTGTGTGTGTGTGTGTGTGTGTATTTCCTTAGACAGAGTCCCACCATGTAATCCAGGCTGGCCTCTAGTTCATGGTCATCTTGCCTATATCATCTGAGTCCTTGGGTTACAGGCTTACATCACCACATCTGCCTTTTATTTTTCCTATTTAAATCTTACAGCCAAGAATAGTGGTACATGCTTGTAATCTCAGCACATGAGAGATGGAAGCAGGGGATCAGGAGTTCAAGACCAGCTACAGACACATAGGAAGTTCAAGGTTAGCCTGGGCTATGAGACCCTGTCTCAAAAAAAAAAAAAATTATGATAGACAGATAGAAAGATAGATGGACAGACAGACAGACAGATAGATCCATGGAGACAGGCTGGCTTTGCAGCTGAAGATGACTTTAAACTTCTGGTCCTCTTCCTTCACCTTTTGAGTGTTAAGATTCTAGGCATGTCTACACATGAGCCTCTCTAAGGTGCTACAGAGCCGACTTGGTTCTTTGTGCATTCTAGGCAAGTGCTCTACCAGCTAAGCTATGCCACAGCCTCTATGAGTTCTTTTGTCTTGTTTTGTTTGTTTGTTTGTTTGTTTGTTTGTTTTTAAAGAAGAATTTGCCCATATATTACCTAAACTTACCTTGTGAATCACCTCAAACAGCCCTTCCCCAAACCTGGGTAACCCTGAAGGCTGTACAAGTTGGTAAACCTCAGATCCCATCCTGGAATTGCCTTTTGGGGTCTGTGTGACCTTGAGCAAATGACTGGAATTCTCTGAGTTTGTTTCCTTAGCTGAAGAGCAAAGCTGTCAAACCCCCACTTTGTAAGGTCACTGAAAGGATGAATATCAGTTCAGTTCACTTCAGGCACACATGGCAGCTCATGGCATCTGTCCTTAAGTGCTGCTACTGCTGTTATTACTGTGGCAGAGGGTACATCCCTGGTCCAGGAAGTTTTTACTGACATCCTCCTTCACTGGTCCAGGAGGGGCTCAGTATTCCACTATGCTCCCAGATTCCCAGTTCCTGGGGGAGCAACTCACACAAGGTCATTTGTATAGCTTAGGCCCTGTGCTCACAAGGATGCCTACCCTGCGTTGGTACTAGAATGACCAGTAGTATCTTTAAAACATTTTTTTTCTTTAATTTTGCTTTATGTGCTATTAGTGAGAAGGTGTCAGATCCCTTGGAATTGGTGTTACAGTTGTGAGCTGCCATGTGGGTACTGGGAATTGAAACTGGGTCTCTTTGGAAGAACAGACAGTGTTTTTAATCACTGAGCCATCTCTCCAGTCAAGACTAGTAGTAGCTTTAAGGAAACAAGGAACAGTAGTCTTGTCACTCCTGCAGTGTGGCAGGGAGGTACAGTAAGGAACTTTCACTCTTTGAAAAGCCCTTGGCAAGCTGGGTACGGTAGCACATGCCTGTGATCCCAGCACTCAGAGAGGCAGAGGCTGGTGGAAGGCTGTGAGTTTGAGGCCAGCCTGGTCTACAAAGTGAGGCCAAGACAGCCAAGGCTACACAGAGAAACCCTATCTTGAAACACCCCTCTTCCTCCCCCCCCCCCAAAAAAAAAAGATTTTGGCAGAAGTGATTCTTCTACCCATCCTTAGGGCCAGTCCACATGCCCAGCTAAGGGAGGAGAAAGAGATCTTGAGGGAGTGATTGGCAAGCAGGGACTAGAGCATCTTTTCCAGTGAGCCCTAAGCTTGACACAGACCTAGCAAGTTGTCCATTTATCCAGCACTGGTTCCCACCATGGTCCTTGCTAACAGGTAGAGACGGGGAGTCACTTGCTAGCAGGCACAAGTCCCCGAGTTCCAGGTCACCAGCCTGATCTACAGAGTGAGACCATCTCAAAAGACAAAAAACAAAAACAAAACAAAACAAAAAACAGGCATGGTAACACATGCCTTAATCATCTCAGTACTAGGGAGGCAGAAGAAGGCAGATATCTATGAGTTTGAGGCTACCCTGGTATACAAAGTGAGTCCAGAACAGCCATGGCTAGACAGAGAAACCCTGTCTTAAAAATAAATGATAGATGATAGATAGATAGATAGATAGATAGATAGATAGATAGATAGATAGATAGATAGATAGGTGCCCACAGGATCTACAGACAGCTAGCTTCCAGAGCCCTGTCTTTATGCTTTCAGTGCCAGGCCTCACATGATCTGTGCCCGGCCTGCAGTGTTTCTCCCCAGGTCTTCCCCCAGCTTCCACCGAAATACCCTGAAGACAGCCTCTGGGTTCTCTCTTCCCAGCACTGCTAACCTATAGTCCACTTGGGTATGTATCTTGGCTGGTGTCTGGTGTCTGGTGTCCTCCAGAATGGAGGCTGGGGTGGGCTGGCAGGGCATTTTGCTTCCTTCTCTGATGTAATCCAGCCCTGCTAGAAGGGTGCCTGAAAACTGGTGGATAGCTAAGAACTATTTGTTGGCCAAATGGAGGGTTTTGAACTTCTGTAGGCTAAGTATTGGAAGCCTTCTGCAGAGGCAAACCCCGGAGATGCTGGAGTATATTTTCACTTTCCCCAGTTCCTCCTGACCGACTGAGGTCACTGGACAAGGGCCTGCTGTCCTCCACCTCTTCAGACCCCCTAAGAGCCCTGCCCCTGGGGCTACTCAGCAGTCTAGCCAATGAGATGCAGCTATCCATTGAGCCCTGGCCCTGGGCTGAGCAGGCTAGGTGTTGGCTATGACCATAGACCTGGACCATGTCTGGGAGGGAGAGCAAGTGGGCCAAGGGATGCTCTGCCAACAGGTGACAGGAGGTGAGGAGTCTTGGAGGGCAAATGGGGACAGGCTCTTTGCACCTTGCACCAGCTCCCCTGCGGCGTGATGTGAACAGACTCTGAGCCTAGCGAGGTGCAAACAAAAGACTTGCTGCCTTTGTCCTCCTCCTGCCCCTTGTCCTCTGTTTACATCCTTCCCGTAAATGAGTTGGGCACTGAGCCCAGAGGAAGGGGGGGTGGAGAGCCAGACACACCTGTAGGACAGGTCCGGCTGAGATCTTGTGGGTGGAGAGTAGGTGGTGGTACTGGCAGGTGGTTCAGGCCCTTGGGGTGCAAGCTGTTCCTTCCCATGGCAGCCAAGCCTTGCTGCTGCCGTAAGCCAGGGATTCTTGGCCCATTCTAAAACGACTGGATGCTTCCTGGGAGCTCCCTTCTCTAGAGAAGGCCAGGAAGTTCTGTGCCCATGAATAAGCAGGTGGGTGGACCAAAGTTTTTTTGTCCTTGTTGGGCCTTTTCTAGAGGGGAACTGAGCCCTGGAGTGACACTCAGACCCCCATGCTTGGTTGCCTGGCTCCTTGAAGTGAGACCTGGCAGTCCCCTGTGCCCTAGGCAGATGTCGCTGTGCTGGAGCAAGGTTCTACCCTGCCTGATAACCAAGGCACCCTCAGGGGCTCTCTTCCCTTCTCTGGTCTTGAGGCCCAGAGTGGAGAGTTGAATAAGCGAGAGCGAGCCCTGTCATGTCTCTGGAAGTGACCAGAGGAGAAGGCAAGCTCTAGGAAAAGGGGTATAGAAAAACTGCAAGGACCAGGCAGAGCCTCTCTCCTGGAGAAGTGTTGGTGTCTGCAACCAGGGCACCTGCAACCCCGAGGCCTGCTTCAGGGGGCGGGGTCATGGTCTAGAACCTAGCAAAGGTAGGAAGTATGGGAAAAGCTCCACTCAGGCTGGGAGAGAAGCTTCTGTCTCTGCCAGGGGATTAGCTGACCAGGCTCACATCAGATTGTTTCCCCCTGGCTCTTCTCTGTCACTCTCAACAATGATGACAGCTCACTCCGTCACCAAGTATGTACTAACTGCCTACTGTGTGCCCAGCCCTTGGGTAAATGCTCAGATCATGGCTGTCTGTGTTCACTGATAACTACCAATACTTGGCATTCAACTCAGTGGGGGCTGTCTGGGCAGCTTTCTCCCCACCCCCACCGCAGCCTGATTTCTCTCCTCCTGCCTCTGCCTCTTCACCTCCTAGAGGACTCTCACAGATGACCTTGCAAAACACACCTGCTGTTTCCTGTTCTGTTGAATCGCTACCTAATTTTTTTCCCCTCTGAGAAGGGTGCTAACCCTTGCCTCTGAGCTGGAGAGGGGGCTTCCTTCCTTGCTCAATTCCTGGGAACAGGTAGTCAACAGCTCTGAGACTACCTGGGGACTCCTTGAATAGGAGACCTGAAGTTCCCTCAGCTGATAAGTAATGACTTAGCTCATCCTCTCACTGTTCCTAAGATGCCTCTTAATGAGGCCTGATAACTGCTACTCCAATTCTGAATGTCAGAGGACACAGGACTTCACTTGTCCCTTGCCACAGACCCCCACAGGTCCCCAAGTGGTGGGTTTCCTAGACAGGTATCTAAAAGGACTTGTTTCCTTAATGCGAATGCTAGATGCTGGGCAGTTGAGCCAGCGGTATGCTAGCCAACCCTAGGGAAGGGCTTTGCCCCAGGTTATGTCAGGTCACATCCCCTAAACATACAGCCTGCTGTCCAGTGAGGATCCTTGTACCTTGAGTCCTTTCTGAGCTTTATTTTTTTTAATTATTTAATTTTATTATTTTATGTGTATGAGTGTTTGTCTGCATGTATGTATGTGCACCACATGAGTGCCTGGATTTCCTGGAGGTCAGAAGAGGACATTGGATCCCCTGGGAGTTACAGACGGGTGACTTGCCATAGGAGTGCTGGGACTCAAACCTAAGTCCTGTGTAAGAGCAACAAGTGTTCTTTTTTAAGTACCAGCTCTCCAGCCCCTGTCGCTCAGTTCTATATGGTGCTGTTCAAGGTTCTCTGTCATAGCCTGCTGCCTAGAGCCCCTTCCCACAAGCCCATGTCGCCAGTGCTGGGAGTTCAGCTGCCCATTCAATATAAGTTAAGCCTTGGACTCCACCTCTGCTGAATTCCCAGGCCCAGAGCAGCTGGACCTCCCCTCCTCTACCTGAATCTTTCCCCAGCACCCTGGATACCTCGGTGGCCTGGCAGTGACTGAGTAAACTTTAGCACTCTTGCACAAGGGACCTCAGATAGCCTGACTGATTGATAGAGAAGACAATAGCAGGTGGAATCTCTGCCTTCAAGGATCTCATTTAGATAAGGCGACAGGCCACAAGACTCCTCCTCTGCCCTGTGAGTTACTGGAGACCATAAGTTTAACTGATAAAAGAAAGACCATCAAACAGAAGAAAGACATTGAACTTTAATTGGTATTTTAAATTTTATGTGTGGGAGTACTACACAGAAAAGAAGTGAAAACCAGCCAGGTAGGCTGATTCATGCCTCTGATCCCAGACCTCAGGAGGATGAAGCAGGGGAGCATCATATGTTTGAGATCAGCCTGGATTATATGGCAGGATGGAAAACAACCAGGACTATAAAACCAGAGTCTGGAGAGGGGAGGAGGAGGAGAGTAAAAGGAGGAGGAGGAAAGGAATGAGGAGGCAGTTGCAAAAAAGCCATTAGTCTCAGAGGCTTATATACACCCTGTTAATAAAAGGCAATGTGGGGGCTGGTAAATTGCTTGCTTGGCCAGCAGTCATGAAGCCCTGGGTTAAGTCCTCAGAACCATAGAATAAATAAATACAGCACTCAGGGGGTAGAGACAGAACAATCAGAAGTTCAAGGGCAATATCAGCCACATAGCAAGTTCAAGGCAAGCCTGGACTAGACATCCTGTTTCAAAAACAAAGAAAGAAAGAGAGAGAGAGGGAGAGATGGAAGGAAGGAAGGAAGGAAGGAAAGAAAGGTAACAACAGAAGTGATTTAGATAAAGGAAAGATCTCTGGGCTGTTGGAGAGTAGTCAGTTATGAGCAGGGAATCCAAAAAGGAATCAAGTGGGAGAGAGGACTTCTGTCGGGTGGGACGGGGTGGGATGCTCTTCTCACTATGCATTGGTGAGTGGCCTGGAACTCCTCCGCTTCAGCCTTCTGAGTGCTGGGATTATAGGATTATGCCAGTAAACCCAGCTGATAAAAATTTTTTTTTTAATTATTTTTAGGGGACTGGAGAGATGGCTAGGAATTAAGAGCATTGGCTGTTCTTCCAGAGTCCCTGGCTCAATTCCAGCACCCATGCAGCAATTCACAAGCACCTGTAACTCTAGTTCTAGGGAATCCAATCTCTTCTTCTGGCCTCCTCAGGCACCAAGCACCTATTTGGTACAAAGACATACAGGTAGGCAAAACACTCATACGCAAAATATTTTTTTTTTTTTTAATTCAAAGAGTCTGGCAGAGGAGCTTTAATTTAAAAGGGGAATGCCTACTTGGTATGCCTGGGACATAGCAAGCAAGCTGATAACACTGATTCCCATCCCTCAGCTGATAAGGGTTTGTGTGGCAGGGTTACCTTGAGCAGAGTCATCTCCAGAAATAAGGGTGCTCTGCCGTTCTTCCTGCTGGCGTAAGACCTGTAGAGGGATGTGTGTCATTAATACATTCATTTATTAGGGTTTGTTTATTTGTTTGAGACATGGTTTCCCTGGATAGCCCTGGAACTCACTCTGCACACCAGGCTGGCCTGGAACTCACAGAGTTCCAGCCTCCCGGGTGCTGGGATTAAAGGGGTGCACCACCACCACCACCTGGCTCATTTCTTAGTTTTATTTTGAAATAGGCTCAAAGGAAGCCCAAGTTGACCTTTACTTGCTATGTATAGGCTAGCCTCACTCTCCTGAGGCTCCCGTCTCAGCCTCTCAAGTGCTGGGACTACAGGCATGAACTGCCACACCCGACTACTCTTGCCTTTTCCGGAAAGGACACTCCAGCTCACCTTACTGTCCCTTGGCTCTCAGGCACCATGACTCCACCTGTCTCCAGCCATGATTTCTCCATCTCTGTTTCCCTGTGGGTTTCTCTTCCTCTTTCAGAATATTTCATCTGAGAGTCAGCAGAAGGGGAGGGTGAGGAGGGGTAGGGAAAGCCACCACCTCTTAGGGATGGACTTGGTTTACCAGGTGTGTTATCCACCTAATTCCTGCAAAAGTCCTTTGAGGTGGGTGCTACTATGATGCCTTTCTTCCTGTGAGGAAACCCCAAGAGTCACAGGGTGAGGTCAATTACCCAGCACAGGATTTTCAGAGCCACTCAGACAGTTTGTCATGAAGGAACAGTCTGTTTAATTTTTAGGTTAGTTTTGTTTTTGTTTGTTTGTTTTTTGTTCTTTGTTGATTAGTTTATGGACAGGGTCTTGCTTTGCTTTGAAGCTTCAAAGCTCAGGAGTTTGTTTTGCTTTTATTTTCAGATCTAATAGTGTGGCTGAATGTGGTGTTGGCTCATGTCTGCAACCCCAGCATTTAAGAGAAGAGACAGAAGGGGGAAGAGACAGAAGGATCATGAATTTGAGAAAACCTGTGCAACATAGCAAAATCCAAGTGAGCCTGGACTACAACAAGATCTTGTCTCAAAAGGTAAACAATCCACTGTGGTTCATATGTTTGAATACTTGGTCTCCAGTTGTTGGAACAGTTTGGGAAAGATTAAGAGGTGTGGCCTTGCTGGAGAAGGTGTGTCACTTGGGGTTGGGCTTTTTAAGTTCCAAAAGACACTATTCCTGGTGTTTCTCTTTCTCACACTGCCTCTGACATTTAGATCAAGATGTAAGCTCTCAGCTACTGCTGCCGCCATGACTTTGCTCCATCAACACAGACTCTAATCTTCTGGAACTGTTAGTCTCAAATTAAGCTATCTGTTTGTTTGTTTGTTTGTTTGTTTGTTTGAAATAGGGTTTCTCTGTGTAGTCCTGGTTGTCCTGGAACTCCCTATGTAGACCAGGCTGGCCTTAAACTCACAGAGATGCACCTACCTCTGCTACCCAAGTGCTAGGATGAAGGTGTGTGCCTCCATACTTGGCCTGCATTTTATTTTCTGTAACTTGCCATTGTAATGGTGTTTTATCATATAGGCACACACAGACAGGTAACACACCAAAAGCAAAACAAAACAAAACAAAAGAGACCAAAAGAAGAGGAGAAACAAGAGGAGGAGCAGGGGGAAAGAGAAATTACAAACCTATTCTTGCTGTTTTGTTTGTTTTTTGAGATAGGGTTTCTCTGTGTAGCCCTGGCTGTCCTAGAACTTACTCTTTAGACCAGGCTGGTCTCAAACTCGGAGAACCACCTGCTTCTGCCTCCTGAGTGCTGGGATTAAAGGAGTGTGCCACCACCACCCTGCTACTCATTCTTGTTATATCATTTTTTTCATTATCGCTATAAAAAGTTGTAAACCTGGACCATCAGTGTTCTCTGGAACACTGCACGTGCTGCCCGCGTCTCTGGTGGTCCTTCCTCAGAGCAGCCATTCTCTAAGACCGTGTCTCAGGAATAAAGAAGGCTGGGCACTTTGACATGATCCTCTCATTCCATCACTTGAGAGTGAAGCAGGAAAACCTTCAAATCTGAGGACATCTTGGGCTACATTACCCCTATTCTAAATAAAATAAATATTCATTTCAAAAGATAATATTACATATGATAATATGCTATAAATTCTGAAATTACCCAAATGTGGAAAGACACCAGCTGTGTCTCAATGATTCCCAAGGTTCTTCAAAGAGGCGAACTCAAGTAAGAAGCACTCTCTAACTGATCTACCAGATTATTTAATTCAACCCTGCTCTGACCCCCATCATTTAAAAAATACGTATGCAAGCACATGTCCTGTCTGAGCAAATCCAGCAGGTCTAGGTTGGGAAGTACAGAGGCACCTAGGCCCCATCTTCTGCTGTCCCCACGGTCCTCTATGGATGGAAAGATCATTAGGTGGGCCTATGGAGGTGGTGGTATCACCCATGGCAGTGTGGGGTGACAATAAAAGCCTCTGATTGCATAGGGGACGAGGTAAGCCACTCGGCGCCCATGCAGCTCCAGTGTTACTGCAGAAAACTGTTGCAGATTCAGTGAAAGAAAGCCAGTAAAGGCAGAGAGCCTTTAAGAGCAGAGGGGGATGTCATTGGGCTGACATTTCTCATGGATCTTTGGTGTGCTCAGATTGCCTGAGACTAGACTGGAAACTTCGTATTAGAGCACTATCCTAGCGTGCTCAAGCCCCCAAGTTCAATCTGGAGTACCCCAAAAGAGAAAAAGAAAAGGGGGGCCAGGGAGATGGGTCTGTGGTTAAGACTCCATGCTGTTCTTGCAGAGTGGTGATGCCTTCTTCTAATTCTGTGGGCGCCAGGCATGTACATGGTATGTAGTATACAGGCAGATAAACACTCACACACATAAAAACAGGAGCTGGAGAGGTTGCTCAGTGGTTATGATCACTTGCTGTTCTTTTCTCTTCTTTCTCTTTCAGATTTTTTAAATTTTACCTGTACGAGTGCTTCGCCTTCATGCACACATGTGCACTATGTGTGTGCCTGATGCTTTCAGAGGCAGAAGAGGGCATTAGATCTCCTGGGACTGGAGTCACAGAAGAATGTGAACAGCCACGCGAGTGCTGGGATTCAAATTTGGATCCTGTTCAAGAGCAGCAAGCACACTTGATCTCTGGACCATCCCCTACCCAGCATGTAGTTCTTCTGCAGAGGATCTGGGTTTGGTTCCCAGCACCTACATGATAACTTACAACATTTGGAAACCCACTTCCAGGGGACCCAAAACTGTCATCTGGCCTCTATGAGTACCAGGCACACATGTGCACAAACACACATCCAAGCCAAACACACACATGAAATAAATCTTTTAAAAAAAAAAAGATGTTTGAAACACATAAAAATAAATAAATTTAGAAAGAAGAAGGCTCCTAAGTATCTGTCTCTACAAGCCACACTTGTAGAGTGGTCACCACAGCCCTGACCACTACGATCTGTCACAGAACAGGCTTCTGGAGAAATTCCTTCCTGAGCTTAGCTGGGGTTCCTGTGATGTCCCGGTGACTAAGCTGAGTGTAAACTACCTGTGAGTGCACACACTGGCACCAAATCTCTGGCAGAACACTCACTGACAGGTTAGCAGCTGCCATCTTTCACAGTGAGGTTTAAAATGCCTTTTCACTCCTCTTCTTACTAGTTTGGCATTCTTTGATAACCTTTTTTAAAAGCAGTAGCTTTGGGCCAAGGGTGTAGCTCAGTTGCTTGCCTAGCGTGCATAAAGATCTGGTCTACATCCTCAGCCAGAGCAAGCTGGGCTTGCTGTCAACACCTGGAGCCCTGGCACTGAGGAGATAGGGGCAGCAAGATCAGAAGTTCAGGGTCATCTTTGGGCACACACAATAAGTTCTAGGCTACATGAGACTGACTGTATTTAAAAAAGAAAAACTCGCTTGTTAAAATCTAATTCACATTCACTTAGCATAACATTGACAAACCTACAGAGTGAGTTCCAGGACAGCCAGGGCTACACAGAGAAACCCTGTATTGAAAAAACAAACCAAATCAAACTACTCATACACATAAAGCAAATCAAATTTTAAAAAAAGGGTTCATAGTTTAGATTAGGGGGCAAATATGTTTTTGTTATTTATTTTGTTTTGACCCGTTTTTGTTGAGACAGGTTGTCACTATACAGCCCAGGCTGACCCTGATCATTTTTTCTCAGCCTTTCAAGTGCTATGACTATTGGCATTTGCTGCTATAGCACCATGTCTGGCTTGTTAATCAGTTTTTTGTTTTTTTTTTTTGGGGGGGGGGTGTTGAGCTGAAGGTGGGCTGGAGACAGGTCCTTTTGTATCCTGGTGGCCTGGAATCTGAGGATGACTTTGAAGTTTTGGTTCTCCTGTTTCTACCTCTTGAATGTTGGGATTATAGGCATGGGCCACACCCTACTTATGTGGTGCTGTAGATCAAACCCAGGGCTTCACACATGCTGTGTAAGCAACTACCAAATGAGTTATAGCCCCAGCCTTGATAAATCAGCTTTAAAGTGTGGTACATTTGACTCGGACACTATAGTCATGATGGTGAAAAATGGTATAAATTAGGATTATACCTGCGTAGGGAAGCCAGGGGGCTTTGCTGGCAAATAGACAGTGAGGCAGAGGAAACCAAGGAACCTGCCACAGGGTCAAAGGGTTCCACCAGAGGATAAATGCTAAGATGGGCGCAGGCACAAGAGCGCCGTGGTCGAGGGGGCCAGAGATTCCAGAAGCAACTTGTAGTTGCTGATGCTGTCATCGTCCCTAGGCCTGGGTATCACAGGCAAGGGCTGAGCCTAGCGCTAAGGCTAGACTTAGGTGCTCGGGACAAGTATGGACAAGTCTGGAGTAGCGTGGTGAGGCACTGTACCATGGACCCTGGGAGGAAGGGAGGGGGCTGCCCCATTCCTTCTGGTATCTAAAACAACCAGGGCTGCGGCATGCTTTTTGCTCCCCAAGAGATCTAGAATGGGCCAAGCTGTGTTCCTCAGCCACCGAAGCTACCTGGGGGGTGGGGTGCGGCTTGCTACCCAGCTCCCAACCTCCTTTGTAGCCATGGGTTCCATGGGTGGTGTAACATGAACTGCCCTCATTTGTGTATGGTCGGGTGTGGTCCTGTGGGCCCTGGGCCAGTGAATGGAGCTCAACTTCAGCTCTGTCAGCTGCGCTGGGTGCCAGCACTCTGCAAACAGACCAAAGTCACGAACCCAACAAAGAGTTCAGCCAGGTTGTCACTGAAGCGACAGCCAGCACTGAGAGCAACTGTAATTGCAGGGTGGGGCTGCTGACCAGTGGCCCCGCTCCGGTCTGCTTAAGAAACAGGTTCCCCAAGATGACCGATTCAAAATTAGTTTGGGGAGCCCAGGGTCCTGAGAGCTTCCTGGACACAAACAGATAGGGGAGTGAAGGCAAGTGGGAACCAGGTAAAACTACCTTTTCTGGGATCTTTCCCTAAAACCCTTCCTGTAGAGAGGAAAATCCATACTTCAGGGATCAGTTCACAAAGGAGGGGATGTCTGTAGGGGACAGGGATTCAGGCTGAACCCCAAGATAAACCCAGGGGCAGGAGTGGAAGGAGAGAGAACAGTACCCGAAGTTTCTAATTGTCCTCCTTGCCAGGAGCTCTTCAGGCTGGAAGGGAGTACTCTGATGCCTCCAAAATACAATCAGAAAGGCATCTATATTCAGTCAACACACACTTCTCAAGGGCTTCTTTTCTTCCATGGTTTGCACTTTGAAGATGGAACCCTGGGCTCTGTGCATGCAAGGCAGGTGATCTACAATTACCCCTACACACACACACACACACACACACACACACACAGTCTTTTCACTTTTAAAATTTTATTTAGAGTACGTCTTTATACTTAAGGTAAAGCTAAGCCAGACATAGATTCTGTTTGTTTGTGACAGGTTTCTTTGTGTAGGAGACAATGAAATGAAACATAGGTTAACAGAATTTGAATATTCATTTCAGAGGGACAAATGATAAATTTATGAAAAATAGGGAGCCTTGAAAAAAAGGAAAATTGCTGGGTATAGTGGTCCATGCCTGTAACCCCAGCACTCAGAGAGGCAGAGGCAGGCCGATCTTTGTGAGTTTGAGACCAGCCTGATCTACAAAGAGAGTCCAGGACAGCTACACAGAGAAAACCTGTTTTGGAAACAAAACAAACAAAACAAAACACAATAAAAGGGAAATATGAGGCTGGAAAGATGGGTCAGTAGTTAAGAGTACTTGCTAATTTTACTTTTGCCCATGGCCAGAGTCTGGTTCCCAAAACTAGCTCTGTAGATCAGGCTGGCCTCAAACTCACCTCCCAAGTGCTGGGATTAAAGGCATAGGCTACCACACACAGCATTATTCTTTTTGTTTTTGCTTTTGTTTTTTTTCTTTTGGTTTGGTTTTTCAAGACAGGGTTTCCCTGTGTAGCCTTGGCCAACCTGGGTTTGCTTTATAGACCAGGCTGACCTCTAACTCACAGAGATCCGCCTGCCTCTGCCTCACAGAGTGCTGGGATTATAGGCATGTGCCAGTGTACCCAGTTTATTTTTTTTTATTTTTGACACAGAGTCTCACTGTGCGGCCCTGCCTTATTGGAACTCATAACATAGACCAGGCTGGCCACAAACTCAAAGAGATCGACTTGCCGAAGCCTCCCAAATTCTGGGATTAAAAGTGTGTACCTCTGTGCCTGGTCACAGTTCTGATTTTTGATCATAAGATTTGTTTTCTCTCTTTCTATAAATCACAGAACCTCTTTATTCTTGGTATAATAGAAGTTACTGTGTTGTACTGAGATATTTTGATTTCCAAATACTATCTTGGTACTTGGGATGCCCAACCACCCTAGAGTTTGAAGGGTATTTCAGTTCAGTTTGGGGATATTTTTTTGATTTAGTTCAGTGATGATTCCTCTACTTTGATCCCTGTTCTTTTTTTGAAAAACAATGATAGCATTACTTTGTTTGAGACAGGGTCTTACTATGTAGTCCTAGTGGCCTGGGGCTCAGAGATTATCCTCTCTCTGTCTCCCAAGTACTAGGATTAAAGGCATATCCCTACCCTACCCTCCAGCCATTTTATTTTTGAAGATTTACTTTAGGTCTTGTATGTGTGTGTGCTCTGTGTGTCTCTGTGTATGTGTGTGTGCTATCTCTGTGTGTCTCTGTGTAGTAATGTGCACACAAGTACAGGTGCCCACAGAGCCCAGAAGAGGGCATCAGATATCTTGAAGCTGGGGTTATAGGCAGTTATAAGCTGTCCAACATGGGTGCTAGGAACCAGACTCTGGCCATACACAAAAGCAACAAGTGCTCTTAACTACTGACTCATCCTTCCAACCCCATATATTGCTCCCTTTTTTTTTGTTTTTGAGAAAGGGTTTCACTGTGTAGTTCCAGGCTGTCCTGGAACTCACTGTATAGGCCAGGCTGTCCTCAGACTCACAGAGATCTGTCTGCCTCTGCCTCCCAAGTGCTGGGGTTAAAGGTCTGTGTTATCAGCCTAGCTTATTTCCCCCTTTTAAACACCTCTAGTTTTCATTTGTCTTTCCAAAATGGCTATTCAAACTCTTATCCCATTTTCCATTCATTGGAATCTGAGTAAAAGGATTAAAGGGATGAGCCACTAGCCTGGCTTAAGTTTCTACAATTTGCTCTTATAAGCATCCTATTCTCAGGCATTTGCTTTCTATTAGCAAATAACTCATCACTCCAAAGTCCAGAGTATTTATTTGTTTGTTTTAGACTTTTTGAAACAGGGCCTCACTATATACTCTAGACTGTCCTGGAACTCACCATGTAGACTAGCCTGGCCTAGACCTCACAGAGATCCTCCTGCCTCTACCACCCAAGTGCTGGGATTGAAGGAGAGTACCATCATGCACAGCACCAAAACTTAGAATTTTAAAGCAACAATTGCATTTATTATCTCAGGAATACTGGTGTGCCTAGCTGCTGGGATCAAGCTCAGGGCATCTCATAGGCTGCATTCAGAACACTGGCTCATCCTGTACTAGGGACTGGGGTGGGGAGCTACTTCCAGGATGGCAGGCCTACATGTCTGTAGAATTGATGCTGCACTTGTTTCCAGCCTGGGTCTCACTGTGTAGCTCTGGCTGACCTGGAACTAACTACATACACCAGGCTGGCCTCACACTCAGAGAGCCAGCTGCCTCCTGAATTCTGAGATTCAAGGAGGGTAGCACCACAGCCATCAGGATTTTTGGCAGTTGTTCTTCGCATAGCCCACTTCATAATGTGACAATGTGTTGTCCTGTTAAGGGACAGCAGGCTTCCCCCACAGAGAGGCAAGGAGAAGGAGTACAGATAGAAAGTGGTGACAC